TTGAGGAACAATTAGTTTAAGATATATACATTATTTCGCCAATAAAGACATTCTAAAAAGAGTGTTAATTTGTCAAAGGAGAATCTTTCGAATATAGCCGTTCAGCATAGCGCGAGTTAGCCGGACAAACTCTGATTGGTCGGGGTTTTTCGTTAATATCTCGATAACAAAACCTCGTATAACATTTTTGCTAAGGAAAATCTTGTTCCAAATCACCTCACGAGTTATCCATTTCAGGAACCTAGAACACTTTGTTACACCCTGTATACAACAATGTTGTCCGACCCGGAAATAGGGCACTCAGTGGGTGAATTGGAACAAGTTTATCCTTAGCAACAATGTAATCTGAGGCTTCGTTACCGAGATATTAACGAAAAACCCCGACCAATCAGAGCGCGAGTTTGCCAGCCGAGTTCCCGCGCCAGCGGTGGCTACGTGCTGCGACTGGTTGGCAGCGTTACCGGCTCTTTAATACCCTCCACGATACACAGCCTTACGTATTTATTGATGTTTATACGGCGAAGGCTAACGTTACTGCGTCCTCGAATGATTTATACCCTCGAAAGCCAACCCCCGGCGGTCCGGAACTGATTTTGCACCTTGTCGTCCGGATGATCGACCGTTGGTGTGCGCTTAATTGATTCAACGTTACAACAAATTTCGCGTGGTATGTTGAATCCTCTTGGTTGTTGAGGGTTAGTTAATGCAGAGAGGATCTATTATGGTTGGGTTGATTTCACAGTTGAAATTGTATTCAATGTTTAAGACTGAGAGGAATATGAGCCGTTCATTTGCGAAAATGATTAACTTCAGGAAAATATAAAATGTATAAAATTCCACGGTATAAAAAGTTAGCGATCAAGTGATATGGCACTAAAATTTGAAACAATTCAAAAAGTGGAGTTAGTCACTTTAGCCTGTGAAAGGCTCGTATATCAATTCGTCGGTTTGTATGATAAGAATAGGGACAAAGATTTTTTTAACTGACGTATTATAACTAACATAATTATTCATTTATGTATAGTGAGGAAAAGCAGTATTTATGGGAAATGTGCTTAACGTAAATTACGGTCCCACGCCTTGAAGTCATGTTCGATACTGTAAGTACTTAAGTACTTACGTGTCGTGACAAAATAGAAACGAAAAAAAATGACACTATATCTCATAACTAGACGGCAGATTTTATGTATTAATACTATTAATAGCCTATAGCGGTCTGTGAAACATAGTAAAAGATTTTAATATAGTAGAAAAAATAGAATATGTCGTAAATGTAACAGGTTTTCTATTTTACTCTTAACCCAATAAGATACTGAACAGAAAAAAAAAATTCCACCATTCGCTCTTGTCTTAATGTTTTACTGTATAAAACGTTGTTTTGCATAAAAATCCGCAGCCTACTCATAACCAAGTAGAGAAAAATTGAACTTACAATACAACAAACAAAATTCAAGTTATAAATATTCTGTTATCAAGAACGTGGTTATTTGACTTCGATGTAAAAATGAACACACAAACGATAGCAGACGAAAAAGAAAACAAATTTGTACATTCCATACAACTTTATCTTCATACGACCGGATCTTTCCTTCCCATTCTCCCGCGCAAGCCCCTATCCAAACGAGCACAAATCAATTTTCCTTCACAAAACGGTCAAATTCCACCGCTACTCCGCTTGGTCCGAACCGGAAGAAACCGAGGACGAGCACAGCGAAGAGAGGCGGTCAAGAAACAAAGCGTAGAAGTTCCGTGTATACACAGGCTGGAAATGAGTCCCGGGATCTCTTTAAATTGCAAACCAAGAGCCGACCATCCCTTCCAAGTTTCCCATTGGTCGAACCGCCAGACTCAGTCTCTTTGGTTTTCCCTCGTTAAGCGACGTTCCGCCGTTAATTGCCTTATTAATACATACTATTATTACGGGTTAAGGAGGCAGGGTAAAATGAAATACTCTTGGAAAAAAATTGTCAAAAAAAAACAATCTAACTTTAGGTACACTTTCTCCGGAACAACTCGACGAAGTTGCAAATTCTTTTTTTTTTGGTTTGTTCATCAGTTTCTCCTCTATAAATTAACACTTTGACTGCCACGTCACCCAAATATGGGTAACACGTACATTGCAAAGGGCGCTGGATTATTTAAATGCCATTACGAAATTTCGTAGTATAATTTAAAACATGACCAATAACGTCTATTAATTAAACGCATATATTTTCTTCGATTTGAGACTCAACGAAATAAAGTGTGTCTGGTTACGTACGACATTCTCCACTGTGGCAGTCAACCTGTTAATCGATTGAAATTAGGAAAGTGTGGTTATTTTTTAGTATCGGAGCAATTCATAAAAAATGACAACCCGAAAAAAAAACAATTTCCAAAATTTATACAAGAAATTTTCAAATTAATTTATCCCTTCTACGAACGATTAGAACATTCCCAACAACATTAACACTTAGAAGAACGCTGTTTCGATACACAGGGTGGTCTAGGTTAGGTTATTCAGGCACTTCTGATAGTCGGACAAAAAAATATTTCGAACAACAGTTAATCAGCTTCATATCAACAATAAATTACAATATTACGAATCCAAAAAAAGTTTTATTTTAATGAAAAGTTACCTGGATTTTTTTAAATGTCGCTATGTATTCTTAGTATGCTATGACCTGAACTTAAGATGATCTGGAACTGAGGAATTGTCATGAATCTGTCGCCACAATATTTGCACAATTCCCAACAATAGAAACCAATAGATTTCACAATAATGTAATAGGCAGTCAATAGTCTACAGAAGGGTACTCACTTGATAACATTCATTTGTTTTCGTCTAAATATGGTGCGCCGACGTTATGTATCGTCAATGAAATCGAGAATTGCGCAAATATTGTGGCGACAGATTCGTGACGATCTCTCAGTTCAAGGTCACCTCAAGGTTATAGTATACCAGATCATTGAATTTGTCTCGATGTTGCCTATAACGCTATGCAGTCAAAAATACATCGTGTCGTTTGAAAAAAGTCAAGATGGTCTTAACATTTCATTAAACAAAAACCTTTTCTTGAATTAGTAATATCCAATTTGTAGTTCATAGGAAACTGATCATCTTTTGTTCAAACCAGAGGAAAGTGTAAGGACAATGCCCTATTTCTAATCGAGAAATTGAGTTTTATTATTTCTTTATGCAACAACGACAAAAAATTTATTAGATATAAAATTTAAACCTCCCTTTATAATTTAATTTGAATGAAAGTATTTTTAAAAACATTTTCACTAAATAATAGTTACTTTAATATGAAGTATAAAATGTCCTCCCCGTTGCTGCTCAGCGAAAATTGAAAGTGCCAAAACGAAACTGTGACAATATTAAAGATTCCGCGAGTGTTTCTTAGTAAAAACGCAGCGTCCACCTGTAACTCACGATCGCAACGGAACCGCTCAAATCACGTTTCTTTACGACGGATACACTTATTAAATTTATTTCTATTAAAATGTTGTCATCTAATAAACAACAGCCTGTAGCATGTTGTACGAAAATACTGAACGAATTTAAATAATTTTTTGTATAACTAATATGTTATTTAACTATTTACATTAAATAAAAAATATACGTACGAAGCAGAAATCCGGACATGATTAGAAATAGGGATATTGATTTTGCCTAAAATTGGGTTGTTTTTCTGATAATTCGTTACTAAAAGTATTTTTTACCCTGCCCCCTTAATGCTTCCACGGACGAGCGCACGGGGTTCCGTTTCGTTCCGGGTCGTCGGGCTCTCGGCCGAAAACAATGCGCCGCTAAATCAGGCGGTGTTATCGTCGCCCGGGACCCCGCGCCGCGAAGGATCGATAAATTAAATCGAGCTCTCGGCCGATTGAAATCGTCGAGGCGCGACCTCGTTACACGGGGAAAGTCTCTCCTCGCGCTAATGTCAGCCGAACACACGTCCCCCGGACTTCTAAATGGCAGCCGGGTAAACGCGTCCGCGGCAACGAACCGACGACGAAGTCGTCAACATCAAAGAAAAAAATATGTATCGGGAAACACGGTTGCGTGCGTGCGTGTACACTGCCGTTTTATAAAAGTGTATGTCCACCGATAAATTCGCAAACAGTTTGCGAACATGTATAGTGAACCCTCGATGAATGCGACACAGGGGGGGGATTCCCTCTAGAATCAAACAAAACAGAGTAACTAGAAGCTGCAGAGAGTCGTCTTCGCGTAAGAAAACAAGCTTATAAGTGGCTGAAAACCTTTTCTGCTTGTCATGAATGCTCCGAAGAGGATCCGAGTATGTCGCACTCATCGAGACATTACTGTACTACGAATTGTCCTTTTCTAGGGATCGCCTGTTCACAATTGTACAAGGTGATTCATAAATACATGTCAATATTTCAGGGGGTAAATCTGCACATTAATATAGATACAGAACGTCATATGAACATACAGTAGACTCTAACTTTAATGCCACTCAATACATTGCCACATGAGTCACTTCCCCTTCACACGTACTTTCGCGCACGCACATTCGCTCTCTTCACAGAAAGTGGTCTGCCGTGATCACTGTAACTTCGTAACGGTTCATCTGAAATTAAAAATTCAGTAAGATTTATGTAATGGAAGGATCAATCTTTTCCTTGAACGTGGGGTTTTTCGAAATATTGATTAGGAACAAGATGGCGGACATTTTCCTGAAAAAGTGCGATTTTCACGGACGGTTATTATTGTCAACATTATTTTCGCTATAATATTAGTTTAAGATTGGTTTGCTTCCAAATACACTAGAGAACTATGATAGTTCGATTTGTATGTATATTTATACAATAGTATAAACAATAGTATAAATTATAATTGGTATTGTATTTATACAATATTTTATATTTTATATCTTGTTTCTAAAGGAATATATTAATGTTAATATATTTAAAGAAATCTGGTGCATTTCTTTATATTATTACATCGTTAAGTACACGACATAACGTAGATTTTTAATTACAGACGGAAATGTGAGGCAGACGGAAAGGAGGCGAAGGCGGAGCTGGCACAACGCAATATGTTCCCTAGCGCTCAAATTAAAATGAGGTAAATAGAGCCTTATTCAAACTACGCTTGTAAAAAGCAACACAGGGTGTGTTGCAATACTACTACACTGTTCAACAAGTCCCGAAATTATGTAACTAAACCTGGTTTTTTATGTTAATTAAAGGTTGCTGAACACGATGTTGGTTTTAGTTTCTCCCTTACACGTCACAAAGTCTAGCTTTTTAAATATAAAGTTGACACTGTTCAATTTGATATATTTTAAATTATTCATCTAGTACAATTATTCTAATTTTATTTCTACCATATCTAAAACATAATAATTCAAATAATAATGAATTGAAGTAAAATATAAATGTAGAATCTAAATAATTTCATAAATATTTTGATTAGCTTTAACAACTAATTCACTTGTGAATCCCGGCCGTCCCTACGTCCTGTTTGTTGACATTCGCAATTTCCCCACCTCGCACACGTACACACACTTTATTTCATAACTATCATATTTCCAGTTCTTATATATGTATTATCAAAAATTTAATAGTTAAAAATGTTACTTATTGTGTTCAAAAATGGAAACTATATGTTTTTTACAGCCCCATATTTACAATTAAATTAATAATTAAATTAATCCTTTGTGACCCCCGTACTTTTTACTGCTTCCATCGCCACCCACCCCCCTCCCAGCCACCACCGAGTTTTTTATGTCCAGACCCATTTTCCTTTATCTTATAGGCCTCCAAATGATCCTGAAAAGTTCATGGATACTTCGCAAGCTATCTACTGCATAATCCAATTGTCTCTAAAATAAAATATTAAAAGATTTTTCTAATAACAGTCCTTTCGTTTCGGCAATATTTGGTTTGTAACAGAAAACCGTAGATGAGTCAAGGAGAATTAAAAAAAATTCTTACGTATAAGCTAACAAGTGAGTTTACCATTGTATTCAGCAATGGAAAATCAAGGCAAATAAAACCAGTTTCATCATTTTAGAATTCTCAAAATTTCATTGAACAGTGATATTTAGACCGAAAAATTTCTCGCCCATCCACAAACACGGGCACACTTCTTACCGCCTCGCAGACGGGACAGTGCCTGATGGTGGTTAATGTCGAAAGTATCTCTGTCAGATTGCTGTCGCCAAGCAGTTCGCCGGCCACGTCGCCCACAATGTCGAACTCCTCGTCGCCGACACCACCGACGCCAGCCGCGCCTGCCTACAACCAGAAGATGACCGGTATACCGTGCGTGGCCGCAGCTTCCAGGTACACCGCACCGGTCCACATCGACGTAGGCGGCACGATTTACACCTCCTCCCTGGAAACGTTGACCAAGTAAGCCCGCACCACACTGTATACATACACATGGGCGTAGCCAGGTTATCAGTGTGAGGGGGGCAAAATTTATATTAACACTTATAGTACCATATGAATAGACTGCGGATCTTTATGCAAAATAACATTTTGCACAGTAATTTACAATGGCAGAATTGTAAACAAAGACTTCTTTTGCCTCCTAGGGAGTTTATTGTGTTAAGAATAAAATGAGAAATATGTTAACCTTCTATTGCATTACTCCTCTTATGCTATAAATACATAAAATCCGCAGTCTACTTATAAGGTTTCTGGGTACCGTCCAAAAATACCTTGAAACATATACGATTTTTGAGGTATCTATTAAAATTAACATAGAATAAAGGGTCTATGAGAGTTGGATAGGAAGTTCTTTTTGAAACTTTCTATTTCATTTCCAACACTGTGAGGGTGGGGGGCTGTGGAACCTGTCAAGCGCATAATTTCTTGCCCCCCGCTCCGTTCTCCCCCTTTATTGCCGAGGAGGCGAGGTCCTCGGACAAAAAATAGATTTGTGACGTGTTGAAACGATTCGTGGTGTACCGTGAAAGTTTTGAAGCGGTCTCGATTTGCAAACTCTAAGAGAGCCTTTACTGTATTTCTCCTTAAAATGTCGATATTCTCACGTATTTTTTCATTTTATTATTCCTATCCAGTAAACGTATGTTCCACTATATAAACTTATTTTATAAAATAAAGTGTCATTACTTGCGTTTAAATTATATTAAAAATATAAGGCCGATATATAGGCTCTAAAGTACTTGCAGGCCTATTCAGCCTAAACTACGAATCAGACACGTAATAATTGTCAATCTCAGACGATTTCAGGTCATAGTCTTTATGATATATATGAATATTCTTGGCATTAATTTTGCGGCGCTGAATCAGTGCCACAGTTCATCCATACGAAGCACAAAATACCTGAAGACTGAATAGGTTAAGGTAAACTTAATAATATTATTTTAAGTGGATTTTAGATTTATTTTTACATACAATATATTAAAGAAGGGGAGCAAACTCCAATTCTTTTCCCTTCTAGGTTATGGCAAAGATCACTTTTTTCCCTCTAGGGGCCCCCTTCCACCCCTGCCCCCCCCCCTGGGTACGCCCCTGTACATATATGCACGGATCTCAAGTTTCACTCGAGGGGCACAAGATATTTATGACACGCGAAAAACCGCGTTGCACACAGTGTGGAAAGCCTGTCCTGTCCCCCGGATCCCGTGGCCCGCGAACGACCACGCGAACTGTCATTCTAATTTATTACGCGCGGGAAAGTGAAATCTGCGATAATGAATGCGAGATAGGGTCGGCCATTTTTCCGGCCGGGCGACATACACACGAGAGACACTCGACGGAATGCCAACGAGATTTTTGTAATCGCTCGGTGGTCGCTCGCATGTGATATCTGGACGTTGGAAATCGTAGAATCGATGTCATTTGTATGAAGTATGTGTTTTTGGTGGCGGAATTTAGTTTCAATAGTTTTCAGGCTTTATTAACCCTTGAGGACACGCATCGTGAATACATTTAATTTTTCGAAATTTTAAGAAGCAGCAATACACTTTTTGTTCGTCTTTTCATGTTCTGTTTTTATGATAGATAATTAAAATGAAAAAAAAGTGTTTAAATAGAGCACTTCTCCGTAACGGTGGTGTCAGGAAGACGCTGCCCGTGTCCTTAAGGGGTCATGCTCAGTCAAGAGGCCGAAAAAGAGTGTTCTTTAGGAATTTTTTTCTCGAAAACTATAAGACCTTTTTCAGAAAATGTATTTGTGTTTCAAAGATTGCAGTTTTTAGATTACAAAGTAATTTTTTTATTTAAAAATACTTATTAGTAAATAAATGGTGAGCCATCTCCTGGATGTCTCTTCACAAAAAGTGGTCTGTCGTGATCACTGTAACTTCGTAACGGTTCATCTGAAATTCAAAATTCAGTAAGATTTATGTAATAGAAGAACCAATCTTGTCCTTACATATAACGCGAACTAAAAATTACTAATACATATAATGAAAAACATTTATGTTTTTACTGTTCTGAAATTAAATGAAATGCATATTATTCTCTATTATGTCAGGTCACCAAGAAAGTTTTTTCCGTTTCTAGATTGTTTCATTTTCAAACTGTAAATACACTCCAACAATTGGAGTAATGCTTAAACAAGAGCTTATTTAACAAAACATTGATCGGTATGTAACACTTATTAAAATTAATCATTTATAGTTTTGAAAAAATGACTTCAATTTGACGGGATCAGAGTCAATTATTCGAGATTGTTTATTTTATGAATTCAAATTAGGCACCAGGGACCAATTGAACCAACCCCCATATTCTTCAGAAATCGCGCCCTTGGACTATCATCTTTTCTTGGCAATAGACAGGTCTTTACGAAATCGGTTCCAAAAACGACAGAACTTCGAAAGGGAGTTAAAGCAGTTTTTAGATACCAGAAAGGAAAACTTTTATAAGAAAAAAAAAGAAAGGTAGTTAAATCGTTGGAAAAAGGTAATAGAAGCCAATGGTGACTATTTTTCTGAAGTATTGTTTGATCCACATTGTGTACCATTTATCTCTATCGATTCAAACGTCACAAACTTTCTTGGTTACCTAATATTAGAAGAAACAGTTTTTATTTAGTTTTAACTTTTTGCGCTCGGAGTCTCGTATAAGACAAAATTTTTCTGTGATGGGGGGCCTACTGTAATGGGAAGGAATCCTGTTGTTTCGCAAAATTTAAAACAATTTTTCGTAAAGTGAATCTAGTAGGACAGAGTAAATATTTATTGATAATACTGCATATTATGCAGTTTCTGTAAAAAATATAATTCTGATCTAGTTGCACACTAAAGTACTTAAACCCCCTTTGAAATTAGACCTCATGTAAATAATAAAAAACAATACCTATTTCTATAATATTATAAATAATATAAATAATACCTACTTCCAATAAAACAGTGTACACAGCAACAACAAAAAAGAATAACGTATTAGACATCGACATCGTAGAAACAACATCGAATCGATTCAATAAAAGTTTGCAAACATAGTCGACAAACACACGAGTGATCGCTGATCGCATAAAACAAACAAAATTCATGATCGTTCGAGTTCCCAAAGTGAGATGTAAAGTAAAAAAGAAGTAGTCGTTTCTTCGATAGAAGAACAAACACTTAGAAGCTATGGCGTGTGTCTTAATACGATTTTCGACCGGTCCTGTGTAAACATATACATGCTCGGTATACTATTCTCTTGACGTGACTTCGAGACCTTTTGTAACGCCAAGGCCACTCGAGATTTCCATAAAAATGATCCCGGCGGTGGAAAGAATTCCGACAGCGGGGAGAATGGAAAGGGAGCGTGATGTCCGGAAACGTGACCATCGACAACGCTCCAGGATGCTCGTACCGGGCAATATCTGGCAGAACATATCGCTCGCAATCAGGCACACCGTTACCATGCCCGACAGTGTCCAAAGGCTATTTGCGGTATGCCCCGTGTACAATGTGCATAAAAGAGACGTAACGTGAAAGCACAACGGCAGTTTACACTGCTGTGGTACGTCTCTAATCTCTGTGAATGATCCCCTATAGCCAATCAGACAACATTTACTATACTAATTACAAAAATAAACAACGGGAAATCGATTGGTATATGCTGGAAAAAATTATTTAAAATTTCAATTATTATTCATTCCATTGAAGTAATTACTTGACACTAGAATTACCGAAAGAGTCGACATAACTGGTTAGGATACAGATGATTAAAATATCATAACACATATTCTTAGATCTTCCGCAATTTTCATTGCAATATTTAAGTGAAGGAATCGGGTAAATTATAAATTTGTATATTCTCAAAAAGTTGTCATGTTTAACCCTTTCGTTCCCATTGTTGTCATATGACTACGTATTATTACATATCTGTAAGTATACAATAGTTTCGTCTAGTCTTGTATATGTTACATGGTAGGGCACAAATTTGAATGTGCATTTAAAAACGTATCGGTAAACCATGACATTATTGGTCCTTTGTCTCATTCATTTCATGTAATTTAAGTATTGAGCATTGTTAAGAAAAAATTTATTTTATTGTGAACAATAACACTACATATAATCGAAATTATTATATACAGGGTGTTACAAAAACATTGCAGGTTCTTGAAATGGGGCACTCGTAAGGCGATTTGGAATAAGTTTTTCCTTAGCAAAAATGTTATCCGAGGCTTTGTTAACGAGATATTAACGAAAAACCCCGACCAATCAGAGCGCAAGTCTGCCGGCTGAGTTCCCACGGTAATATTAGCTACAGGGTCCTGCAACATTTTGGTTACACCCTGTATATAACTGGAATGAAAGTAAACAAGTTGTCAAATGGCAACGAATAAAAAATGGCATTAGATGGTTTCAAAATGTTAAAATGTTCGTGTGAATCATTTATATGTCGTCTAATATAAATAAAAATATAACAAAATATTTCTTTAGGAATTTTTGAATAATTTTGGAATGAAAGGGTTAAGGATCGGATAGAAACAGATATACGTCCATCTTTGGTAGTTCTAGTGTTAATTATTAGTTATAATGTCTAAATTTTGTTTCTAATCATTTCTCGCGTAGTAATTTGTTCCGCCATCTTGGATTGGAATTGATATACCTTGAAGTTAAGAATCCCTATCGATACCCAGGCTTATAGATATCCACATCCACATCATTTTGGGCTATAAAGTAAAGCTGTACTCTGTAGGATTTACCAATACAGCAAAAATTAAATATTTATTGTACAGTAATGTACTTGAATACATATTAACCTACACGGAACGATACGTGGGGCAGTATAGAGTCCGTTACTTTGATACTTTATAACCTTAGGGTTTCTCCTATGGACAGAATTACCGCCAGAGATAGATATATTAGCAAAAAATGGTGATCCTAATGATTAACACTCGAATTTGAAATGTTTATGCACTTCTAAGGACCTGAATGGAT